TCAAACCCACAAGACTGTACATCAGAAATTCTAAAGATATGCTTCCAACATAGTCCAACAAACTTAACTTTTTCTTTCAGACAAGGCTCGGTTAAATGGCTCCTTTAATTCGCCCCCTAATAATCGAGAGCTGGCCACTGAAGGAGCATTAAAATTCTATAACTAAAATCTATGTGTTCCATTTTATAAAACTAGTACTGTAGGCGTTTAACTTCTATACGTCTTTTTAAGTGTTCCCTTGAAAAGATGTGTAAACATTTAATATACCATTGACGACTTCGATCTTCCATTTAGGAAACATTCTGTGGAATGATACCACCTAAATTTGCACTTTCTGGTACTTCTTCTCCATAAATCAAAGTACTCACACTATTCACACTTCTGATGAATACGGCATTCATCCATTCGCCTACAGGGGCTGTTTAAACCCCTCTCTCGTACCAACTGATCAAGTACTACCCTCTCCAAAGGCCTCCTATGCTGACCTGACCATTAACCACTGAGTACACTCACACAGAGAGAGAGAGAATCGTTCGATATAATTTAACGTCTAATGGCGACACAAAGGGCCATTCCGCTGCATTATGCGCAGTCTGTCCATCAGGCTTGTACTCCTGCAACTGACAAGTGTTTGGAACCGGTGGCAATCGGGGAGGGGGAGAAAACATTTGGGGGGGTCGGTCGTTAATGATCCCCGACTAATTGCGAGCGATGCTGCAAATCCGGAGATAACTGGAGGGGCGTCGATATATATATTGGCTTTCGAGATTTTCCGGATGAGTATGCGGATTTATCCAATGCCTAGCATCGGCAAACGTGGGGAATAGTCGACACTTCTGATTTTCTGCAAGAGATTCAAGCTGAATGGATAGACCATTTTCACCTTCTGGCAATCATAACGTTAGATGCAATAACAGTTTGGAAAAATACACGCTGATAAGTCTCGCTTATTTTTAGCTAATATGTAAAGGTTTAAATTAAGTGAACATACCAGGATCTTTTTTGTTGAATATGAGGTAAATGGGATAGCACATTTGCAGTGAGAACTCTTTGTTGAAAATAGAGTGAGGATAATGCAGAGTGAATGATACAAAAAGAAAACATGCCTGCATTGTTGTAATATTTCATAAATGTAAATACAGCATGGATGTGTAACTTTAAAATATGTGTTTTAATAACAGGCATTGTCGCGTTTGTTTACTAGAACTTTACTTCCACGGACGCCCTCTGGCGAAAGAGACTAAAAGTAGTCAGTTGAACGGCTGACGCGTCTAACAGATGTATAACGATAGACCGTCTCCGTATAAATTATGCTTGTAATCATTATAACTTGGTAAATATTTTGTAGATATCTTTCATACGAATTAAAATTTCTTAAAAAGTTTATAGCTGTGTTTCGAAGTGAATCGAAGTTCATCATAGAGACGGATACCTACAAGAAGGAAAAGCAGGCAGTTCAGGCCAGCCCTATTTAGAAGGTAAGTGAACTTTCACTTATCTATTTAATGATCAAAAATTTTAATAGTACAAAGTTGATAAAATTTTTTAACAGGCATCATTCACCCGAAAGAGTTCAGCATTTCCGAAACAAACACCAGTTACAAAATAACGAGCTTCAAGCATTATCGAAAGAGAAAAGCTTCCAGTCTGCTAGAGTATGTAAACACTTCGTCGATAATCGTTGTTTGCAGGCAAGATATACTGAATTGATGAGACTTTGTAGGGATATCCTACAAATGTTCGCCACCAATCTGCAAAAGGTACCACCTGCTCTACATTTATGTACGTGTGTAAGGCACCAACTATTTCTAAATCCTTGTAAATGCGAAACACATAAACTATTCTAAATCTTTGTAAGCACCAAGTGCAAAGCACCAACTGCAAAACATTTTTGAAGGTACTCGGTAGATACCTTATGGAGCCCTGCTATGTGTTAATAGTTAGTGCAGTGGAATTATATCCACATCCGCTATGGTTAAACATTGGGTGATCACTGTACTTAACTAGACTTGATCTATTGATAAATGATCTTCTTTTTGCTCATAATTAGACCGTTTTCTCAAGCTGTTTCACCAATGCCGGTAGTGTTTGCGTTGAGGCGATTCTTCTGCGAAGTTGGTGCAGAAATATTTGAATAAAGGCCGTCGACGACATTTTTGCATTTCTGGCTCACAATAAGCATTTTCTTTTGCTAACGTTGCCTTTTTCAATAAAATGCTACTAGTTAATTTTTTGGAAATGTGTTCAGATGGGAATTTCCACTGTTACCAAATGAGAATTAGGAGGTCACACATTCATGTTATAACAGCATTTGTAAATAAATTAATTAGAGCACTCATAGGTATGTTTAACTTTTAAACCATTATTTAAGATTTAAACTACAGCTTCAAGAATGATCTGAAATCTTTCAAACGATCGCCTTGCACTTATATGGATAATTTAATTTTAAGGCAAACCATAGAAGAGTTATAGGCTTAAGAATCGCCACAATTTTTATGGAATGCATCAGAGGTACAACGCAAGAGTACCGTACATTTCTGCAACTATCATCGGCCAATGAAAGGGAATTTCGATCTGACCAATTTTAAGTCCCCCATGCTCGAACAAAGCATTTTACATAGCATTACATTCAACAGTAAACCAGTTCATTATACGAAAGTTTCAGTTTTCTTAACAAGGCAACCAACAGAGCTATTTTTTATCTTTTTAACTTTATTATTAAACTTCACTTCCTTTGTAAATAACAAAATATTTAAAAACAATATATGTTTAGAATTTCCATAGAACTCTAAGTGTTACCATACATTTCTTTTATATTTGCTATATTATTTCTTTAATAATGATACATGCGCATAGCATTTGGTGGCAACACCACTTTAATTTGAGAAGTGAAGATCGAGGCTAATCAGCACCTCTAATGATATTTAAAAAAAAAAAAAAATCTGAAATGTTTCAGATTTTAAATTACGTCCAAAGGGGCGTTTTTTAACATTTTGTGTGTTACCTTTCTTTATTAAATATCATGTTCCTCGCATTTAAACCATAAGATCCAGTGCAACAGCAATATCGCAAAATAGTTTTAAAACGAGCATATCTTTAGAATTTCCGATACAGAGACTCACGCGCTGGAGATAAAAATGTTTTTTCTGCACAACGTTGCCATTGCTCGCTTTGAAATCCTTGAGTTTGTTAATCAAAAATTCGTCAAAGTTTTAAAAAAATAGGAAATCGATCATAAAACAAATTTCAAATTTGGTCTTCCACATGCTCATATTCGTTGGAGGATTACGTTATTCAAAATTCGATGACTCTATGTACCGTTATTTTATGACAATGTGAGAAATATACATACATTTACGCAGATTTTCATATTTAATTTCTTCAAATATAATGCAGGACTCTAACATTTTATGGCAACAGTTTGAAAAGTGAACCGACATTTATCCGTCCGACGCAAAATGCCAAAACGAAACTAATAGTCCTTCGGGACTCAAGTCCCTTTGGACTAAAAAAAAAAAAAAAAAAACATAAGCATTTGAGCTATTTTTATCCATACAAGAGCGCAATTTAGTTACAATGAATGTGGACTCACTACCAAAATTGTTAAAAAAATCACCATCAATAATACAATTAAAACATGCGTCAAAATTAAATAAATTAAATCGCTCAATCTTAAATAATAAATCAAATGTACAGCTACTATTCTATTGTTTCACACTGACCCTATCAAAAAAGTCTCCACTAGAGGCCCGAGCGGTTAAGAGCGCTGAATACTAGAAATTTGACCTTAGGCGAATGGACCGACTGCACGGTTGGTTTCCCCATGTGCTACGTGAATACGAGCCAGTTTCCTCTGAATGGTCCTTCGCAAAAACATCTCTTCTTTGAGGCAGATAGTCCTCGTGTGCTTTGCCATATCCATAACAACCTAACTTGGCGAAAGAGAAGAAGAATACAGACAAAAATCCGAGAAGGGAAGAACTCATATAGACAGAGATTGGGAGAAAGAACAGAAGGATGTTCCCACTCGCGCTCAAGAGAAATACACAGATAGAAAAAGGAACTTATTTACGCTACCAAATACACGTATTCCCCAGATTAAATATGCAGGTAAATATTAATAGTACTTTTTGCTAATCATAATATACTGTTACTTCTTTTTCCTGTGTCTGTTTAACTGCTCTCGAATTAATCGTGATTTTGAATTTAACATGGATGTCATTGTCTGCACTAATTACTTCAGTTAACCGGGAATTTGCATATCACTCAACATTGAATTCACTAGAATAAATATATATATATATAAATCTGAGAGCTTTCAGATTTTATATTACGACCAAAGTGGCGCTTATTAACGTTTTGTGTGTTACCTTTATTTATTAAATACCATGTTCTTCGCATTTAAAATCATAAAATTCAGTTCAACAGCAATACCATAAAATTATTAAAAGAAAATGTCTTTAGAATTTTCGATACACAGTTTCACGCGTTTGAAATAATTTTTTTTTTCATTCAGTGTTGCCACTACTCACTTTGAAATCGTTCGAGTTTGTTAATCAAAAATTCGTTAAAGGTTTACCAAATGTAAAACAGATAATAAAACAAATCCCAAATTTGGGCTTCCAGATGCCCATATTGGAGTGGAGGAATACGTTATTCAAAATTTGATGTCTCTGGTTTCTGTTGCTTTTTTCACGATGTGAGAAACGTACATTATTTAACTTCTTTAAATATAATGCAAGGCTCTAATATTTGGTGGAAACAATCTGAAAAAGTGAAATGTTGTTTATAGTGAACCAACGCAAAATGCCAAAACGAAATTAATATCCTTTCTGGGCATATAGCCCCTTTGCGCTAACAATAAGCAATAAATTTTCCAGCGTAGCCACCGTATTGCTCCCTTGCAAGTTAACAAGAGTTCCGGTACTCGTATAGATGATGATTAGGAACAGGAAGGAACAAATAAAGAGCACTCAGGTGAAACAGCAAAGGACACTTACTTCTGCTCTCGGAGCCGATTACATCTGCGCATGCCTGAAACCTGAGTAGGAGATGAGAATCGTCGGTGCAGGAATCTACAGTGGACTCTGGGTAGGCGCATTCCCCGTGACCCCTGCTATAGCTGAAGACGTAGGATCCCTTGAAAGGACACGGCACGGCAGGTGTGTTGACTGAAAACAGAAAAGAAAATTCAATCAATACCTAAGTAAAAAAGAAATTGAAACTGCTCGTCTTTTTTACACTATCACATCTGCATGTATAATGCTGGTTGCGCAGTAGATGTATAAAAAGAAACTTGCATAACTAGGCGAATTCCATTATTTTCTGTTGAATTATGACTGACACAGGTGCAACAGAAATACATGGATGATTATAGCGCCTTGTTCTTAAAGACTTTTTTATGTAGGTACCGATAGACTTGAGAAATATATTTTTGAAACTAACAGGCTGCGGCAATTTGCAACAGCGAAGCGAAAAGTCGAGCATTCAGACGTTTCGGTTCTCAACTGAAACCTTTAATCTGATTTGCGGCGGTATGTAATATCGTATAACGCGGTTTAATTAAAAATGACGCAGTTTAAATTGATATAATAACTACTATTTTGGGGACAAAAAAAAAGAAATTAAAATGGCCCTCCGGCAAATTAAAATAAAGAATAAAAGGGGCTTCTGACAATTAAAAGAAGTTTTCTTTTATATTGTTTAGCTTACACACACACCATATATATATATATGTTTATCACAACTACAAATATTCAAATCAGCATTTCTAAAATGGGTTCTTCAAAATATTATGATATCATCAAATGCACATTACTCGTCAGAATTTAAACCAATGTCTAATACCGTCAATATTTGTATTAATTTCAACCGTCAATATTTGTATTAATTTAACTTAAATTGTAAAACTGGACAAGCACAGGTCAAAGCATAAAAAAAGCAAATTAAACGACTGAACACGTGTTGCGCATTAGATGCACGCTGAAGTTCCAATGTGTGATAGTGTTTCAATTTAAAGTGGTTTCTGAAAATGATCAGGATTTATTAATGAATGATGCTCTTATTGACTGAACAGCATCATCAATCATTGACCGTTCTAATGCTGCACGAAAAACTTCACGAGGTTGGACTTAAAGAATGAATTTGAGTTCCACTCGCTTCATCTTCCAAGGAGACCCATTTAAGATGGTGCCGTCGTCACCACTGGACAAACTTTTATAACCAACTAATATTAATTATCCACTATTTTATAAATATTAATTCTTTAATCAATAATCTATAAATTAACATTAAAATTTATTTAAATGTAAAATATTCAAAAAAGGAAACCGAACCTATTTTAATTATGTTTTTAAGAATTTTGGGACTTTGAAAAATCAAAAATTCTTTCACATGCGTTGATTATTCAGTATTAAGCTAACTAATTTTGGCAAACAGTTAGTTACATTTAAAATATAGTTAAAATTACCCGCGTGTTAATGAATTAAAAGAGTACGATTGATTACTCCAAAAAACAATAATGGATTTATATTAGGTTATCTATATACAGGGTGATTATAATTAAAGTTTAAGTTTCAAAACGCTATAAAAAAAGAACCACTCATGAAAATGACGTCAAATTTGAAAGGAATGTTATTGAAGAAGGCGGAAAGCGTATGGCAGAAGAAAAAATTTAGTTTCAAAAGTTAGCAACAGATGGCGCTGCAAGCGGAAGAAGACGTAAATTAAAATGTTAGTTAAATTTCAGTGTTATAAAGCCCTGCCAGGTACCAGGCTGTTCCTTATTTCGCGTCTCAGACGTTCGCCATGGGTGTTTTCACTGCAGGACCGCGCTCTGCTGGTAAAGCTGTATTACAAGAATGATGATTGTGCAAGAGTAGCTCTGCAAAAATTCAGGACACTGAAGGGTATAAAAAGAAGGCGTTGGTCCAATGAGTGTTCGTGATGATCTAAAGAAAATGATGCAAAAATTCAAAAGCGACAGGTTCGTTTGATGTGCAATCTGGTAGAGGGAGAAAACGAGTGCATTCGACGGTAGTTGAAGAAGTGGCCACCAGCATTACAGGAGGGGTCGGCCGGTGGTGTGCAACCCGTGCAGTGCACGAGGAATTGCCCGAACACTGGACAGGCCTACGAGCACACGGTGCTGAAAATTGTATACGAAACATCCTGCAATGCTATCCGTACAAAATTTGGCTATGTGCAGGATTTGCTTCCGTCTGACCTGACAGCAGTAAGGGAGACGTTTGCGTTAGAATTCCTGGCTCGCATGGAAATGGATAATGAATGGCCGTGGAAAATTTTGTGGATAGATGAAGTCCATTTCTATCTGACAGGATACGTGAATACCCAGAATTGTTCGAATATACAGGCAACAGAAAATCCATTGGCAAAGCACCCCGTACCACTTCATCCTGAAAAGGTCATGGTATGGTGTGGCTTTACGGACATCATTCATCCTACAACCATATTTTTTCGAGCAGACGGGTGCTTCCGATCCTGTTACCGCAACCGTCACTGGTCAGAGGTATGCGTCTCTTTTGCGCAACCACGTGATTCCAGCTCTGCAACAGCATGGATGTGTGGATGAAATCATTTTTATGCAAGATGGCGCTCCTCCGCACATTGCACATCACGTGAAGCAGCTGCTGAGGCTGCCATTTCGGAAATGCTCGAATTATCAGCCGTCATTTCCCTACAGCCTGGCCGTCCCGATCGCCTGATCTTACTCCGTGTGATTTCTGGCTGTGGGGATATCTGAAGGATGTTGTGTTCCGTGCTCCAATTGCAAATTAGCGGAATTAAAGGCACGCATTTCACAACACATTCTGAACATCACCCCAGAGACACTGCGATCCGTTGTGGAACATGCTGTTTGTCGCTTTCAACTTGTTGCACACAATGGTGGACACCATATTGAACATGTTTTGCGCCAGTCTCGTGACAGTTCCGAACTTCTTTGATGAATGGTTCTTATGCGGTACGTCGCCGCAAAACTCATGAAACAGATTTGTCCCTTTCGATGTGATATGTACAGTCATGCAAATAAAATTATTCAACAATTCTAATTTGTCAATACGTTTTAATGTGTAACTTCCACCTTAGCCGTTGTTTTACGAATCATTTCTCATTTCTCGTCGTGATTCTGTCGCTTACAGCGCCATCTGTTGGCTAAAACTTTCAAAACTAAATTTTTTCTTCTGCCATACGCTTTCCGCCTTCTTCAGATAACATTCCTTTCAAATTTGACGTCTTTTTCATCACTGGTTCTTTTTTTATAGCGTTTTTAAACTTAAACTTTAATTATAATCACCCTGTACATGTATCTAAATACAGGTACAAGGTATTTTCTCCCTCCTTTCCGCATGTATTCGTGGTGTAACGTAATCCTCGGCGCGTATTCGAGAGGTCTAGGTTCCAAACCCCGCAAGGGCATTGCTCATTTTTCATGTCACCTGCTTCAAAACAACCTAATGTCTATGCAAATGTTATAAAAATAATTTTAATTATTGCATAGATACTCCCATAATGATCCACATAAAGCGCATTTTTTCTGAGATACATGCGTTGACATAAAAAAAAAAGATGATCATATATACACAAAAAAAACTTTCTTTCACGTTAATATTTTGTGATACGTAACCTTAGAATTAATTAAAAAATTGCGGTTGTACTTTACTTTAGTAATTTTCAATCTCTGCACTTGAAACTAATTCTTTTGCGTCAAATGTAAATCTAAATTGAAAAACCTAAGTTCCTGCGTTTTATAAATTTTAATACTGTCTTCCTCAATGGGATTGTGCTATTCTATCACAATGTTTTCTCTCCGTACGATACCACGTACTTATTAGAATATTGCGTGCTCAATTTACTAGAACTCTCTTTCATCCTTTTAAAAACAGAAAACACGTTCTCTTCTCACTGCACAGATGAATTCGAAAGTAGTTGCAAAGAGTTATCTTCACAATAAGGATAATAAATTACGGCACTCTTTACGTTCTTATTAATAGTTAAGGATAGTACTTAAATTATCTTAATATATAGGGCCAAGCAAAAAAACGTATTGCATATTTTAACGAAAGAACATTCTTTATTGTTTTCTAGTAATGAACTTAATTATAGGTTATTACACTCATTTATACCATAAGTTAGATTTAATACAATCTACAATTACTTAAGAGCGCATAACGTGTTAGAATGCTGGCCATTAGCAGCCAGACATAGAGCACAACGGCGAGCAGCTACATGTGCAACGTTGGTCCATGTGTCCATAGGGAATTTTCCACTTGCGGCTGTTAACTTCTTCATAAAGGACCTCCAGCATAATCGATTTGATGCACGCCACAATTTCCTTCAAAGTCCGCTGTTTTGATTCACCATTATACATAAAACGTCATAAATTGCAGTCATGAAAGTATCGTCACGGATTAAAAACATCTTATTATATATTATATACATAAAAAAGCTTTGAAACCAGTACGCTGATGCCATCTATTAAAGCATGCACACGTTTTTCTGCATTTGCGATTAGAGTTCGAAATAGTCCCCTTCCGTAGCAAAGGAATAATCGGAATAGATCCCTTCCATAGCAATGTAACATTTGCATTATTCTGGCGACTTACTATTTCGTGACAATCTCAGACGTGACAATCTGCATCTTCATTTTTTTCCTCATGCTAGCAAGCGAAGAATTTGTATTATCTTATATTACAGTCCCAATTGACTCTTTCAGCTGATAACAACAAGCATAATTATAAAGGCTCCATTCGAGATTACTATGATTGAATCCAGTAGTCGGTAATGTTTGTCTTCAATTCAAGCTTTTAAGTTTCTATATCGATGAGGCTATACACTGCTATAAAACAACCCCCATGATGCATTACGAACTACCTTGCCATGGTAGTTCCGAATGCATCCATGAGTGTACTAAAACATTCCAAACAACGTTCATAATTTAAGACTCCAGAAGCTAATAAAAGTAATTTCCGTTGGTTGGCAGTTAGTATCAATATCATTTCAGAGTCAAATTTTTATTTCATGTAGAATTAAGATCCATTTAATGACCATGAAAAAGTGATTGCATCGCAGGTCCTTTTCCTCACAGTCGATGCAAATTTACCACAATTTGTCGGCGGTTACTTTATTATTCAGACAGTTTGCTTTTTGCCTACATTCACTTAAAATAAATTATTCATTTATAAAGCTCATTTACAAACTTCTTCTACTTATAATGTTGAAATTGTTTTTCTAATTTTATCTACTATACGGTATGCAATTAAAATTATATACTTAGATTTGACAAAAAGATCAATAAGAACTGTCATCATCATCAACAGCAAGACAACCCATAATGGAACAAGGCCTTCTTCCAGTACGCCTTCCTCCAGTGTGTTCTTTTAATCAAGCTTGGTTTAGCTTAGTTTATTTGATAATGATAAATTACAAAACGGCTATCCGCCAAGTGACAAGGATGCCTTTGTGTAGAATTTCTAAGGGAAATTGGCTCGTACCCACGTCAAACAGAACGTCACACAGATGAAGGAAAACGACGGAAACGCCTATGCAACTAGCCCGTTCGCCTAGATTCCAAGCCAGGTCTAACAACCAATATTCAGCCGAGTTTACCATTCGGCTGTTGGTGGCTAGGACATTGCCAATCTTAGGTTATTATGATCTTAAAATCATTTTCTCCATGCTTTGTCATCTAAATCTGGATCTCCCCCGAATTCTGCTCTTATAATTAAATATGTCTTATATTCCCCTGTTGTCTTATAATTAAATATTTTAGCGATTGCTGATTTTCCTAAGTTTATCCTTGAATGTGTCCAGCAAATCTCATTCCACTGACCTTAACGTGAATGAATTTTTTCTTTGCTAACCACGAGCCTTACGGCATAATTGGAAGCACGTCCAGCTGGTAATCGTGAGGCCCGGAGTTCGAATTCCGGCGAAGGCACCGCTTTTTTTGCCAAGTTTCATGCTCCGAAATGCAACTAACGACTCTACAAAATTATAGTAAAACATCATTATCCCTACAAATCCTATTGTATTTCTAATTAAATCTTTCGCTGCAGTAGCTATCAAGATTTATTGCTTCAGATGTTAAAATTTCCCTTTCGAATGTTGCCAATAAAGTTGAATAAAAATTACACTAAGGTATTACAAAACAGCAATGAAATGGCGACGAGATTCCCTTTCCACTAGCTTACAATGCTAATCCCATTTGCAGAAATGTCCGTATTATGACAACTCAACCGCAGCACTTTCTTGAGCATTTAAAACCACGGATAATATCAACCGCAAGGAAAATCTTCTAAAAAGCTGGAACTCATTAAACGATCCCTCCCATCTCAATCTAGGGCATTTAAGCAGTCGCTGAGGCAGATCATATCCCGAAGAACACGCAGGCGTCTTTTCTCAATGGAGATTCATTATCACCGGGAGAGCGTTTTAAATCCGGGCCATTTTATCCGACGAATCCGGGCACGATTGAGGTTAAGGAAACGTATATTGTTTCTCACCTTAATGTGGGTCCTTTCTATTAGCGTTGGCTGTTTTCCTTTACGCCAGGGAAGGCTTAGTTATCTTGCCTTTTCAAAGAAGGTGTTTCGGCGACAACGAAAATGCAGGAAGTTTGAAGGTGTTTTCGTGGATTCAGCGTTTGCTCCACGTAGCAATAAATTCGTTACGTTTAGTGAAATAACACATACGTGTTGTTCCTTCCTTTAAAACATGATGCTGCGAGATGTTTTAAATGTGAGGCATACATCCTCCATGAGCAACCAACAATTTACTCAGTACTTTTGTAATTAAGGAACCTAACGCGAAACGATATTTTTAATTATGAACCCAAAATTGCAGTTAACCATCAACGTACCATTACTGGAGGTGGGAAGCTGCGGTAAGCCAAATTTGAACTAAAGTTATAACCGTAATTTATAGAAAATAAAAATGATGTTAATGAATATGCAGCATTAGTCAAATGACACGCACTCCGCCATTATTAATGGCATCTTAATGAATTACGGACATTTAAGAAACACGGAAAACTTTCCTATACTTTCCGCCAGCAGATCATGAGGTCACACATTCGTGTCTTTTCGGGGGGTTCTTGTTAGCTAGTTTAGCTGGTTAACTTATAGTAAAGTTTATACACTATCCTTGTTTCGTGTTCATTCATATATTTGCTTGGACCTAATGTTGCAGAAATTACTAACATGTGAAAAAATTTGAAACTAGATTAATTGCAATTCATGCCTTGTGAAAGTGACAGATTGGAGCCCGCAACATTTCCGTTTGTAAGCCTAGGTTGGTAAGGTCAAGGAACGTCCAAGACGTTCGATCAGCTAATCATTATAAACGTACTGACCTTTTAATGAAATAACTGACCTTTTAACTGTAATCTACCAAATGCGGATAAAAAAAGTTCCACTAAATTTAAATATCTAATATTTATATAGACTGATAGCAGTCAGGGCGGTACGTCATCGGCTATTCATAAGTAATACTCTTAAAGTATATGGACCTAACAGTTGTTCAACAAAGAGACCAATTATTAGGTAGATATAAAGATTAGGATTAGAACTATTTCGATTTTCTCAAAATATTGGCAGATTATTGGCCTAAGGAGGGGTGCCTTGGGGAATACTGAATCGCAATTTAGGAAATAATTTATGTACTTGAGTTATACTAACTATGACAAAAAATAACAGTGACCTATATAGACATGCCTTTACGGAGAACTTTCTAAGGTTGACCGGCTCTTGTTACACACGCAGAAACCATAAAACCCTTATGAACTCAGACCGTTCAATAACCACGGAATAAAAATCTGAAAGAATTAACTATATCCTGTGGCTTGACCGTTGGCAGGTCAAGACAAACACATGACAAGTTAGATAAAAGATAGTATAGGCCGTTATTTATTTATGCTTGAATTATACTCTTGGAATGCCACCAGGGAATGAGATAAAAATAAAGTAAATAATCCTATTTTCACTCCTTCGATTACTGTTTTTTCGCTTCACATTCTATGTATCTAGCTGCTAATAATGCAAAGGTATAAAAAGCAAATCCCAAATGTTTTTACGTTTATCTGTAGTAGGTCAAACAAGCACATATTCAGGCTAGAAACATTCTGTGAAATTATTAACATCAGCACTACAGTGATTGGTTTCGTGAATTTACGATATAAGTTACAAAGGTTGTGCCGTCTGTCGACGAAAATTTAAACCGCCATATTTTCTGACGACTTATATCGAACCGCCGGACCTATGGATACGTATATAAGTACTTTAGCAATTGGACTAAAGCATTTTATTTTCCTGCGAGCAAGCGGTATTGCTGTAATATCTTTATAACACTTCAATAATATAATACATACACATATAATAAATAACATGACACAAATATACGTTTACGTTCTTAAAAGCAAATCAAATTGCAGAAGTATTAGAAACTATTTACTTACATCTGAACATAGAGTAGAGAAGGGCATCTCCATTGATTTCTGAACATAAATTTTCTAGATTCTTGTGCTGAGGAAGATTTGAGCAATGAGCTGTAATAAAATGTTTTAAAAAAAGTGTGTTAAGCAGAAATTATAAACTTAGAAAACTGCTATTACATAGTAAAAATACGTTGAAATGAATAAATGTTAAAATTATTGAAGGAAAAATATTTTCTTTACGTTTTGTTATAGATCGAAGCTTGGCTTTGACACCTTAATCTCACCTTGAACTCTTAATTTTACGGTCTTGCAAATTGGTGCGTTTTTTACGTATTAAAGAAATTTCTGCTCTTTACTACTGGTAATGCAAAACTAACCCGATAAAAGTATTTTATTTTCAGATCGGCATCATCATTTTTCGATCAATCAAAACGAATTTACACACAAGTAATAGATGGAAAATCCTAATACATAATTCCACATTGTAATTCAAACAAAATTTATCTGGGTGGTATGAAATGTATTGCTGATTTAAAATACGTAAAAGAAATTAATTAAAAAAACAGTCCCTAAGTCGCAATAAAGTGCGTTCAAAAGCTCGATCCTGCTGACTAGCATTTAGTTATGAAATCTAAGTTTCTCGTATAGCATGAGAGATATTCTAGCAAGAAGCGAATAGAAACGACAATTTGAACGACGAAAAGCAATGGATGATTACAAGAATGCTGTAAGCCAATGTAAGATAACCGATGTAGTGATTATAAACACAGATCACAGTGTGATACCGACTTCGGAACTGTTATCAAAACTTTTAAATAGATTCCAGAAGAGAAGGATCTGGACATCTAGATCCCAGCCTTGATAATGCCCTGCCAATCAGCGCTTTTTATAGCAAAGGCGTCATAAACCATACACAGAACCTTTCAGATCTCGTTCTTTTCACTGGAATATCATCTCGAAATCTGTATCTCTTTAAGTCTTAGATAGAATAAACTGCACGCATCAGTCGAACCGAACCCAAGGCAACAACAATCTCTGTAGCATAAGTCTTGTACACAAAGAAAAGCTACCCTTCATAAATCATACACAGAGGAATTCAATCTTTGTTGTTTTCTCCAAAAGATCAGTATTTCGACGTGTCTTGTACGTAAGTCTCAATGAATGTGGATTATATACATAAATAACAGTCGAATTTACGAACAGTTACGTCTTCTCTCACATTCTCAGAACCAATCTTAACTATCGTGATCCTATGGACATCGTAACAGGTTTAATCTGTAAAATCATTCATTTTATAGGATGAAGATCTACACTCTAAATCCCTCAGAGTGGGATTTGCAGAGTGACAGCAACTTTTGCTCCGTTTCACGTTATATAACGCAGGTTTACTGTCTTGGTAACAGAATATGTTTCGCCATCTGTAATTGAGACAATAGAGAACGGAGTGAATTGAGATACAGAGTGGCCGAACATGTTTTCAAGCTCGCCATTTCAAGCGAGGACAGTAGTAACAATGAATGCACCTCCTTTGCCAAAAGTAAGTTAGAACATATATACAGTTATTTCTTAATAAAGTTATATATATACAGTTATTTCTTAATATAAATATCTTAAGCATTATAAATTATAGTCCTATAGTTAGATTTAGGTGTAAAAAATGAAGAATGTAATAAAAAGTAGTTTTAGTTTGTCCTTTTTTAAGGTATCTGTAAATTTGCTTTAGAGTGTAATGCTGTAACGTACTTTTATTTATTACATACTGCTAACACGATAAAAGCTATATGCATGGATAGTACATTTTGTAAACACTTCTTAAAATTATTTTTATTTTTGTACAATTTACACAACATTATCTATTTTAATTATTTAAATTCAGTTTTGCATGCATTTTTAATTCAAATAGGAAGAACAGAGGTAAAAAAGAAATCCATACTGTAGTTTTGATTTTTTATAACACAAGTGAGCAAATTATTTGGTAGAATTGCAGCATGTCAACAAGAAAAAGAACTCGTATACTTTATTGAATTCTCGGTGAGGTCGTATCGTTTTCAACTCATAGTACTTTTTAATAGATTTTTTTTTAATTTTTAGATATTTAATGTCATTTTTTTGTCATGTCATTTTATTGCCATATTTTTAGTGTCATATTATCCATTTATATATGTATGTACATATATTTTCTAATAAAAAGTTTCTAATGCATTGTTTGTTTTCATTTATATTTAAAATACTTCGTTCATGGAAATTATTATAATTTTGCAGTTATGTTAATGATTTCTACTTAGATTTAATCAATAACTAAAATGCATAAGAATTTTCAACAGAATTATGAAAAATGAATTTTATCTTACACATGTGAGCTAATCCATATTATTTAACTTCAAAATTTACTTTATTCTTTGCATATGAGACTTAGAATTAGCATATATAAAAATAAGTTATAGTCTAAAAATATATGTAAACATTTATTCACCTGTAATGATTAATGCACTGGAATTTGTATATATATAACTTCTCAAAAGTAAAAAGCGTTATAAGCTAACTGAAGATTTTAAGCTTTATTCATAATTTTGGGTAATAGGTTAATTAATTTTAAGCTCTTCATAATTTTGTAATAAGAAATAGAAACATTTCTTTCTCAACATTTTGTGCAATACATGAAGTTAAAAACAATAGCATGAGCGTATTTTATGGTTACGTATTTTCTGAATCTCATACATTGCAAATAAAGCTGAATAATTTTTTCATGTAAGACAAATTAAATTCACATTTTATTTCTTATTTCAATGTATATTAAAATTTATTATTCGACTTTTTATGCAGATTATGCTCAAGTAGACAAACTACCAGTAACATCAATTCACAAATTGTATTAAAATATTCACTTATAAGTAGAATTTTAAGAAGTTAAATCTAGCAGATTATAATACAGGTTTACTGAGACATATATATATGATCAGCTGTTAACACATTCAAATTTTCATGCTTATAAAATTTTTCAAGAAATATTTTAATAAATTAATTTTCGACTATTATGATTATTTAAAATTTAGCTTACATGATTGTATGTTCTAAATCTTGTGAATGAAAGCTATGAATAAATCATAATTTGTTTTTTAAAATTAATATATGTAGACAAAATTCAGAACGTATATCACTATATATGATTTTTAAATTTCTTTATGAAACTTGTAGAGATATTAGGTATTTTTTTGGAAGCAGGCAAGATGAAATATATGCAACCGCCTTCGCCGAGAATCGAATTGCGGAGCTCTGGAGTACACGCCCAGCGTGCAGACCACCACACCACGAAGGCATGCCAAGAAGGCGGGAGAAATACCTTATAAACTAAGAATTTTTCATTTCTCAAATCAAATTTTGAAAATTTCTGAAATGTTTATTCAAAGGTACTGAAAGACCTTATTTTTTATTCAAAAACCAAGTGTTACAGTTTATGTAGCTGGCCACGAGAGGGCGCAGCGTTTTTTTACTTTTAGCTTGTTATATTTTTCTTACCGCATTGCGGATTTTTGAGATAGATGTAGTGGCAACCAGAAAAACATGATGAATGTTCTAATGTAAGCATACAATTCTTGTACATAGCTGTAAATAAAACTTCTGTGTAATAAAAATGAAAAGGAATTCCAAGCGTTCCTGTGGATATTTATTAAGAAAGGTAAGCAAACTTTCACTTATTGATGTTATTAAATGTAAATAATAAGAATAAGAAAAAAAGATCATAAGTTGCTACATGGTGCCAAAATTCAGAGATAACAGTGATCTTTAGATATATTGTGATTTAAGTATTTATTATTGTTCGATTAGTGATTGAATATTAAGATGATGATATGATTATTAAGATGGATAAGTTAAAAGCACTAAAAAAGAAGCGAGGAATGTTAAGAGCATCAGTAACAAGACTGATAGCTAAAATGGAAAAGGAAATAGAATTAGATAATATTAAATTTGATTTATTAGAAGATGATTTATCCATCTTAAATGAAAATGAAAACGATATACTAATATTGAACACTGAAATCGAATCTATCCTAACAGATGAAAAGGAGTACGAAACTGAAATACAGGATAGCTTGGAATATAAAAATAAAATTACCTTGTGTAAATCGAAGATCAGTAGAATATTTAGAAATAGAAAATTGTAAATAAGAGTTGCCACTAATCGCATAAATAGGTGGAACCAACAATGCGTAACTTCCGACAACCAAATAAATTAAGGGAAATTAATCAAAGTTTTGGCCTACGACGTAAATAAACTGCTTTAAGAGAGAAATTATCTAATCTTACAACGTGTAAGAACCTCCGAATCTACTAGAAAGACCTATGATGCTCTTGACTAGAGAGAACGTCGTTAGCAAACTCCTCACACTACGAGTACTATAATTCATTTTAACACCTTATTTAAAGAACTGAATGGCAACGACTTAACTGAGAATTACGCATGCGTAAAGAGATGAGAGTTCTGTTGAGACGCCTGTGAGAGAGAGTTTGGGAAGCTCCGCCAGCGAGCTGAGGTGTGGAGACTTTGTTTGTCGAGTGATGACGAGTACCATCTTCGTTAACGTCTCTGATCGTGTCACCAGCTCGGATATCTACTAAAGTTTTCTAAATGTATTAATTAATGTTGTATCTGTGATATGTTGTGTATTAAAAAGTGATGCATCACCACTACCAGTGTTGATTCCGTTTTCACTGAAGCATCCACGACGTCACAGACAAAAGAAATAAAAAAAATTGGAGGTTCCACCGAGATTTGTGTGACAAGAGACCAGGTATGTGTTCTCCACAATATTCATTTCCAGGCCTGAAGTGTATAATGTAGTTATTTATTACTTATTCGGGAAATCAATTCCCAAAGCAGAAGTAGCACATCAGTGCATAAGAGTTTTAAACACTCAATGTGTTTGGTTTATAGTATATCTAACAAGATATTTTCCTTTTGTGGTATATTCGGGAAAACATTTTCCCATTAACACGTAGCACATCAGTGCATTTTATAGCACGTCAGTGCATAAGAGTTTTTAAAACAATCAAAGTGTTGCATTTATATATCTAACGAGATATTTTTCTTTTGTATGATAATGGGAAAAATC